TAATTCGGTGGTATAAGTTGGAAGTTACTCGATTCCAAAGGAATCTCATGTGGATATCTCAGAATAAATCAGTCGATGCCAGGATGCTTCCACGGCCGAGGTTAAATAGCCTCGGTACCGCATTCTCATACGGAACCCGGCGATTTCTGACCTACCCGCTGCCGCGGAACTCGATATCGACGATCGAGATCTATCGTGTCCTGTCGGGCGGGCGAGCGTTAAACACACGGTGAACTTCGGGAGAGGGAGTGAGAGAGAGTCACCAGTCAACGAGTCTTCGACGTGGGGAGTCCACGCCGAGAGCGGTCAGAGGATTTCTGAGCGAGCGCACAGTGGTAGCTGATGTATTTTGACGTGCCCGATGAGAGAGGCCGCTCTCTCTGTTGACTGCATTATCTAATGGACCACCCTCCCCGTCTTCCCCTTTGTCTCACTCTGCCCCTTCGTCTTTCTTTATCACTCATCTCTCTCTCTCTCTCTCTCTCTCTCTCTCTCTTTCTCTTTCTCTCTCCCCCGTGTTCCCTTCGTCGCAACCTTCTTGCTCGATGCCACGACAACTCGGCGTTTCAGTTATCTACGATCTACCGCATCGGGAGACAACCGTTCGATGAGTTGCATGCATCTCGACTCTGGTTTCATAATCGACCGCGAATTTCTTCCCTTTTCTGTTATGCATCTTATGTAACCGCGTAATGTCATCGGCGCATGCATGCACATATATAATAGTTGATCCTATGCTGAATTAATTGCTGAGAGATTGCGACAAATGTTCTGGTTATCTCCAACAAGAAATATAAACAAAACGAATTCTGATCATACAAGTCAAAATTCTAATTATCATAATTAAATTTCTGGTTATCTCGACTATTTAATAAATTTAATTACAAGTGTCTGATTTATACCTTTTTTTTTTAGTGTTGAATCTGTAAGAATTCTAATTAATGCAACAAGACTTTTACCAGTGAAAAGATTCGAATAAAAAATATTTTTAGTATTCCTAGAAATATATGGATGAGTCGTTTAATAATTTAATTAAAAGCACAAATGTGGAAATGTTGCATGACATACGTATATAATTAAACTCCAAAGTAAGTATGCAATTACATGTGCTTAGGGTTAATTAAGATTGCAAGAGATACATAAGAAGAAGATACACGCGGATGATAACGATTGAATACCGCAACGTTTTTCCTCCGATGTTCGTAGGAATGCAAGAAAGAAGCTAACGTTGAAATCCCGAGATGATATTGCCCCGATAGTTACCGGGTTACCAGCCCAGAGCTCTAAGCGCGAGCTCAGTACCGAGCGCGCTCGATTTGGTCGGGAAAGAAGTTACGTCGCAGTTACATCCAAGGCGAAGTAACGTGCAAAAAGCCCGAGCATCTCGGATGAATACCGAGAGGAAGTAAGAAAAGAGGGAGAGAGACAGAGAGAGGCAAGCCGTGGAACAACAGAGTTTTTCGCGATCGGCAAAGTATTGTCCGTCGTCGTACTCTCGCGTCTCGTCGGAACTCAAGAGCGGGATCGTGCGACCGTGACTCTGGAATCATCCCTAAGACCTTAGACCCCCGCGCCCAGCCATCACCAACACCGTTCCGCGACCCGTGCAATCTCTCTCTCTCTCTCTCTCTCTTTCTCTGGTATTCGCCAGCATCAAATTACAAGTTCCTCCTCGATCTACGATCCGCTGTCGTCGTCGCTCGATTGGTACCCTTCGAGGGAACGATGTTTTCTGTCAAGTTTGCACAATGATCACGAACGAACTCGTTTAGATATAATGATTCCTGTCGTCGAAGCAGCAAATTCAATATTCACAATAATAATGTGGCTCTTTTGTACCACACAACTGCAAAAAAAAAAAGAAAAAAATATGTATCATATATAAAGAATATTCCCTAGACTGTGTTTAAGAAAAATCGGGACAATATAGTCAACCGCATAAAAGGATCCCGTCTGAGTTTACAATCATGGGGATCGGCGCGGAAGACCCTCACGCGATTGCCTAACAAAATATCACGGAAGAAAAAGACTCGTCCTTCGTCGCGAGCCAGCAGAACTGGCAGATCTGGCGACTATACTCCTTGTCCTAGCCTGGCACTGTGGACTACGTCGTTGAATCCTTGGAGCGAGCAGCCCCATTCGGGGCAATTCTTTGCCGTCTCGCGTGTATCCTTAGTATGCAACGTATGCAGTCGGTTGTTACCGAAGGAGTGGTTTGCTGAGCGGCCAATGGCGAGTGCTCGAGCTAATTCTAGGGTGCCGCCGCCGCGCCATCTTTGCATCATAATGCTGTCCCCCCGTGCCCCGGCGCTCACTCGCGTTCTCTCTCCCCCCGTTTCCTCTTCACCGCCCCTCCCGTCACTGCGAGAAGTCTGCCCCCTTCTTCCTCCCTGCCCCGCTGCCGTCCCGCAACCTCTTCCCTCTGCCCTCCTCGTCCTCCTCTCCGCCCCCACCCTCTCCCACTTTCTCTCCACCCTTGTTTCGTTTTGCGTGAGAGAGAAAGAGAGGACGAAGAAGACGAAACATCAGGTGAAAGAGACAGAGAGAGAGAGAGAGAGAGAGAGAGAGAGAGAGAGAGAGAAAGAGAGAAAGAAAAGGAACGAAGAAAACGTCTCGGAGGCGCGTTATGCCAAAGTGGATAAGGAGAAGAGTGCACGAGAGGGAAACGGAGAGGTGTATAAGGCAGAGAGGAAAAGGAGGGGCACACAGCCATGGTGAAGAGGTAGAGGGGACGAAGGGGTTGTCTGCGCCTTGTCTGCCGGGAATCAATCACGTATCAGTGATGCTCAACCAGTGGCCACCTGCGAGACACGATCGATAGGATCGCGATACCTGTTTACGATGGCTCATCGATGGTATCCGCTGTTATGTTACTTTGAATCATAGAATCATGACGGATCCGTGAACGTTGAATTTTGGTTCCGAGCGACAACCGATGCTTCCGCGATGTTTCATCATGCACACGTATACACACATACATACAAACACGCAACGAGATTCAAGAAAAAATTCTTGATATTCTCGCGATGCTGATGTGTGGCCGAATGAGAAATACATTTGCATCTAAAGTGGATGGATGCTTTTGCACGACGATTTATTTTCACGGCGGCAATACGATCCTCTGATTACCGTTCCAGAAATGACGCGCGAGTGGAGGGCGATTAAAGCTGCGTGCCCTAATCTCCATGCTATACCGGCGCGAAAGCGAAGGGAAGGTAATGTCGTCGTACTCGAGTACGCCCACGGCGACGTCGTACCTACGCCTCGCGCTACCGTCTTACCTGTCAGGGTAGGGTAATGTTAAATCGAGAGAACGCGAGTAGGAGCTACCGTCTTCCGCCGAGCCTACCATCCTGAAGAGAATCACGACAGATCCATTTCGGCACGTCAATCGACGAAGAATCCGACTAATGCATATAGAGTTTTAATCACATATACACGTGGTTAAAAACGAAGAAGATAATTCAATGTATATATATTTTTAAATAAATTTTTTTTTTTAAATAAGAACTTTAAAGAAGCGTTCATTTGTGATATCGTTTTTGTCTCCGATGGTGTCTCAGAAGATCGAAGAAATAGAATCGAGGAGGCGTAATCGATCGAATCTTAATCTTTTTGCCCTGAGGTATCTTTTCGCGGGATTCGGGCGCAAGAACCGGTCAACGTCTCATCGGACGGAGACGCGCCGCGCCACGCCATTATTCGTCGAACCCGGCGCAACGAGAAACGATTAAGGCAGAATCGTCGTCGAACAAAGCCAGAGCCCGCGAGAGAGGTCGAGCCAAAAGTGTCGAGGGCCGAGATGCGCTCGAGAGAAGATACAATGGCCGGACGCGCCGGTTCACAATGACGGAAAATAATTAAAGCGGGCAGGGGGAGAGAGAGCCCGTTCAAAGACGCCGACGCGGGGGTCTCGACCGATCAAACCGATCGCCTATGCGCTGTATCTGAGCGAACCTACGCGCACACCCGTCGACGTGACGAATCCACGCCGTCCTACACGTGTATCTAACACGTTGCGCGCGCGCATGTTACCTGTATGAGTTCCGACACGAATTTGTGTGCGCGCATCATGGTGGATTGATTTCATATACGTCTGCATTGGTGACAAAGAACGGGACATTGGAATCCGGAAAAGAAGTCTGAAAGCGCGGCGACCAGAATGAATGGTCTGACACGAAAGAGCGAGCAAGCCTACATTGTTGTAATACTTGCGGTAAACGACAAGTTGCCTTGGAATGCTATGTGACATAATTTTAAAACAAGTACAAAGAGAAACTTTATGATAGATTGAAAATTCGTCTCGGTCAAATCACGTTTTTTATGCTGAATTTATTTTAAAATTAAATTATTTTGAAAACAAAATGTTATATATATATACTTGTATAAAATTAATTATTTTTCTTACATGTTTTATTTTTCATTAATATACTTGTTCCTTTTGATTACCCAAGTATCAAAGTGAAATAAAAAGCAAAGAAATTGATGAATAACGAAATGTAAAGAACAGTTTTTCCTTCTTATCGTATTTTTTTTTAATACTCGTTTGCATATATTCGCTTTAATACTCATATATTATGCAAACGCGGGAGTCCAATGTAAGCTCCCTCATCTTTTTAACGGCGTGACTCACTGTGAGAAATCGATAAACGATTCGTCTCGGGTGTTCGACTCGACCGGCTACCGTCGGATTCACGCACGGTAGCTGACGAGACGATCGGACCCCCGCTTAGACGTGTACTTTGAGTTTTGGGGCCCGCCGTGCTCGGTGTGAAGCCCCCCGCTGTAGAATGATACGCCAGGATAATTCCATTGGACTTTGACCACGCCGGGGTTCCGCCACCTGGGGGACGGAGATGGTCAGCGCGAATTTGCCGCGTATTTTCATCACGCCGTTCGAAAACGTGTGTCAACATTCACAAAATATACAATACGTTACAAATAATAACCTTTAGTCTATCAATGATGCTGTAAATGATCGCATTATTCTTTTGTTACAGTGGTTTATCAGAAACGGTTAAAAAAGGAACGGCGAGCGAGGAAACGGCTGCAGGAGCAGTTGGACCTGGAGATCAAGAGGCGCACACAATTGGAGGAGGCCCTCAAAGCCACGGGCGCGTCCTCGGAGCAAGTCAGAGCGATTACCGGTATGTGCGAATCGTCTTCTCTGTGAACAAGTTTTTACACCGGTAGATATATATCATCGAAATTGGAAATTGATCATTTATCTAAGAAGATTATACTTGAGAGCTTGAAGAGAAATTATACTTACAAAACGCTCTGTTCTCACGCTGAAAACTCTTTGCTAATATCTTGCTCTACAAAAAAAAAAACGTCTCGATTTTCATCGCGTAGATTAGACACGAGATCGCTGCAAATGGACGAGTTTTCTTAGGATCTCGCGAGCTCGTCGTCAGTCTCTCCGTTAAGAGCCCCGGGGCCAGCGGTGATCTCGGAATAAATTAATTAATACGCCGAGGCAGAGCAAACAGCCTGACACCCGGCAGAATATGATTCCTTACTTATCCCCTGCCGGCGGTGCAATCCCTCTCCGTCGTCGGCTGGCTGATGGCAGCCCGTTCCCCTCCGCCCCCCCCCTCCCCTCTCCTGTTGCCTCTCTCCCCCGTCGTTCCAGCACCTTGACTAGGCACTGCGCGTCTCGCCCCATGATCCTCCGGCAAGTAGAAGTAGCAGCAACAAGCGGCACGCCACCCTTCTTCCTGTCACTACCAAAACTCAAACGCGAAACCCTTTAAGTGAAATCTCTTATTCCGATATAATGTTTCGTCCTGGCTCCTTCATCTCTTGCCTCCCCACCGTCTTCTGTTCCACCTCATCGTTTTCGCGTTACCTCCGCTACCGTTGCCTCCGTCGCCGTCGCCGCCGCCGTTGCCGCCGCCGCTGCTGCTGTTGCTGTTGCCGTCACTGGTACCGCTGATTAATCCTGTCAAATCCAGAGAGTCGCGATACTAATTTCAAATCAAACGGCACGTCACTCCGCCACTTGGTGTCGCGGAGGGAGTCGCAAGATGCTCAAATTTTTCCATCTATTCCGCTCGCACGTCAATGCGTTCGAGGAAAGATTTAGAGACGGAGACGAATTTTTTTTTTTTTTTCTTTTAACATCGCGTTAATCGGGCGATTGCTATCTTTCTATGACGCAGAAAACGTAACGGCGGAGGCGCGCACGAGTTCGGAGCCGCCGGAGGCTAGCCCGGTACATTCTCAGTCGCAGCAGCAGTCGTCGCAACAACAACCGCCGCAGCAACCCCTTCAGCAGCAACAGGCAGCGGCCCAGCAGTACCGGGAGGCGCAAGTACCGCGTCCTTCCCAGCAACCGTCGACACCGGAGAAGCCCGCATGGGGATACGGGCTGGATCTCATCGGTAGCCAGGCATCGGCCTTCTGGCAAAACTACCAAGGTCAGTTCTTCCAACGGCACGCTACTTCACCCTCGTCGTACCCTGTTGCGTTCGGTTTCATCGTCGATTTACAGTTCCCACGGTATTCCCACGGAACCGCGCGCGGAAAAATAAACAGGGAATACTTAAGCCACTTATCGTTAACGGAGGATCGCGATAGCCATGTCGTTCCCGCCTCCGCTTCTTCCTCCTTCCCGATATATCTCGAAACATCCCGGCCGTGTCCCAATACGTAGCGTTCCCTTCGAGTCTCGCTATGTTGTACGTATTACAATTACCTCGGCGAGAGATATTCTGAAAAGAATTCGAAAACGTCAAAGAGATGCCTGACGGGAAAGAATAAAGCGGCCCAAGGAAACTAGTCTGCTATCTACATTGTAAAGTTTACGGTAATTCGAGAAAGTAGCGGTCGCGTGTTAGAAACTTGGGGTCAAGGGAGTACGGGAAGGGGGAAGGACGATTCGAGGATACAGGTCCAGAGCCAGCGGCGGGATCCGCTAATTCGGATAATCGCATTCCCGTATTAGGATCCACTCAATTTTTCTGATCTTCCGGCCGAGTGCTTTCGATCCTCGATTACCCTGACAAAAAAAAAAGAGAGAGAAAGAAGAAAAGAGAGGAGATTGACCCCGAGGGCTAGAGAGACGGTGGAGCGGACGGTGGTAGTATGTCGTGGTGGTATCGTGCAAAGTAAATTATTCGAAAGATCTCGAGCGAGAGCAATCACGCCGCCGGCAATAACAACCCCGTGCACGAAGAGGGTAGGAGGAGGGCGGGAGAGGGAGAGAGAGAGAGAGAGAGAGTGAGGCAAGGAGAGGGGGAAGGAACCGAGCAGGTCCTGACGAGGAAACACGAGGTATTTGAATAGGGTCCCGCAGCCACTCGGGCATCATGATGCGGAATCCATTTGCAATAAACAACGGAGATTTAGACGGGGGTAACGCGGGAGAGGAGAGACAACGAGTCGAGTAGTAGCGTCAAGAAGGAAAGAAGGGAGGGGAGGGGTGACCATCGAGAAGGAACACGGGGAAAGAGGTGGTTCGACGTAATGTCGTCTGAGGTGGATACTTACGCCACTGAGGGGACCTCGGAGGCCGCCGCCGCCGCCGCCGCCGCCGCGTCTTCGAGTCATGCATTCTATACGAGCGATGGCTCTCAATCTTGTCACATTGTCTAAATAAAGAAAGTATGTTTCGTAAGTTTCGATCGTAACTGATAAATCTCTCCTCGTTACAATCTGAAGCTCTCGTTGATCCGGCCGTTAAAAAATATTTCGCGTTAATTCTATAGCAAAATGTTTGCCATGAAATATAGGTTGATTCTTCTTGCCTTCAAGATCTATCCTTTATCGTCGCCTTTATCAGCTGATCCTAAATCCCTACTAACTCTGGCTGAGCTGAATCCTTTTGTGGAAGAGTATCTACTGCTTTCAATGTCGCGTCGCATCCCTTACTTTTCCAATAATACAATCACAGTTTCGCGACCGTGTTTTCCTCCCGCGCATATAGCGCACTTACATGAGCGCCACTGACTGTAATGCAGAGTTTATGCACATCTCTCGCAAGTAAGGAAGGAGCCGTAATTTCCCCGGCGGCCAACGCGGCTCTCGGTGGCGTTACCTGTCCTCCCTTCCTTCTTCCACTCTCACGTTCCCTCCGCGCTTCCCTTAAACCTCCTCCAGCCTCCCGCCTTCTCTTACGTCGCGTTGCTCTCTTCCTTTCTCTCTCTCGCGCGTGCATACACGTACGTACATACAACGCGGTGTACGTGTACAAGTATGCACGACGCGCGATTCCTCCACGTCGTCCACCATCCACAGAGTACGACGAAGCACTCCGCCACGCTTTAATATTCAGACTATATGCAATAATTTCGCAGCAACCATAACCCCCTCCCTCTATCTCCCTCCTGATTTCGCAACACTCTTGCTTTCTCCGTCTTTCCCTCTCTCTCTTTCTCTCGCTCTCGCTCTTTCCATCCTTCTTCTCAAACCACCATCTTCAGCTTCGCCGTCTCTATCGTTTATTTCCTCCCCCCTTATTCCACCTTGCCTAACTCTCCCTGTTTCTTCCCCCTTCCTATCCTGCCCAACCGTGTTTCTTCCATCGCATGAAGAGACGTAGCACGTACGAACACACCCACACCGAGACTTTGCGAGATTGCTCCACGGTGTGGTGCACTGTACCTCCATCTTCCACCCTGCGACCGCAATCACTCTAAATCGCCGCGCGGGCATTAATATTTGATGGACGAAGTCCTCGGGAATTATTCGAAATGGGAATAATCGCGATCGAGACACGCCGGTATCATTTTTCACATCGATGTCTTGTGAGATCAGCATCAGCATACAGCTACGGCTTTAACGTCGTTAAACGCTAAACCCTTTTAGTCTTTACACGCCGCGCTCGGGCGCTTCCACGAATGAATTAACCTTGAATACCGTGCGGTCTACAAACTGAAAAAGAGAGAAAAATGAAAGTCAAACGTTGTCGAGAAGTAAAAAGTTTTAAGCTTCAGTCCCGCAAATCAAGCGTATCGCCTCGGGAGGAAAAATGACGACGACGACGACGGACGGACGGGCTCCGTCGAAGGCGCGCGCATACGCTGGATTATTTCCAGCTTTCCAGCCGCCCACGCGGCCGAGAAAATGCGAGCGTCGCACCTGCGTACGTACACGTGCGTAGACCATTACGCGGAAAGACAATAACCCCGCGGAAGAGTGATAAAGCGTGACGCGTGTGTACGGGCGATATAAAGGCTGAAGGAAGCCGACGCGCTGACGTGGGCGGCGGAGCTGGAGGTAGGGTGGCAGAGGGCTTGGAAACATCCCCCGCCTTGAATATATCCACAGGGCACGACGACGTGGTTTTCCGGTGAACAAGCCGGGACAGGAGAAATCGGACAGGGAAGACATGAGGGAAGAGGGGAAGGCGAGGGCAGCAGAAAGGTAGAGTTTCGATCTAAACGCGATGGTAGCTCGCGTGGTTGCAAGCTGACGGTGAGGTAGGTGTTGTGAGGAATATTGGGGTTGTTTCAAGACCCTCCCCGCACGGCGACCACTGCTTACTCGGGGCGTTTTCTTCCGCTTTCTTATATTTGAAGAATAACGAATCTAATTATGATCTTTCAGGGTGGATTAGACACATTTTTTTTTAGAAAAGTGTAATTAACATTTTTTTTTTTAGTTTATGAGAAAGGAGATAAATCGATCGTTATTGTTATTTCGGAGATTTCCAAGTTTACTATGAATACATACGAAAAAGAGAGAAAAGCCTGTCCTCGACTTATTTTGCGACGCCGCAGGCGCCGATTGGAAAGGCGCCGGATTGTGAGGGGATTAAATTCGTTACTCGAGAGCTTTGACGCGAATGGCATACGGAAGAGAGAGATTTTTATGTGGCTGGGAGAAAGAACAATTACCGAGCGAGACTCATCGATCGTTTTGGATATCGTCGATTTATTTTTAAATATTATTGACATTGCTGAGACTTCATCAACAAGTCGTGATTGAATTAATAATGTATTTGTATTTTCCCGAACGGACAAATTGATGCGGAGTGTCTTGGTGTAGCATTTCGATTTCGCGGTACAGAGAGGAGAATGCGGGCGAAAGAGGATGGAAAAGAAAGTAAACAGACTGAGGTAGAGGATGGTAGGTGATCACACTTAACGGAAATTTGAAATTATAAGATTCGTGCGATTCGAAAGCGAGGAAGAGACCCGGGCACCGGAGATTCATCCTCATTTCTCCTCCTCCTGCATCCTCTCTCCTTCCAGTTCCTCTGCTTTTTGTGTCTCCGCGCTGCTCCATGCGGCTCCTTGATTCATACAATTTCATGGTCGGCTTGGCGCTCAAGCGCCTATCCCCACCCCTATTCGTATCTTCCGTTCACCCCTCCTTCATCTATATCTCGCTTTTCGGCCTTCTGCTTTCCGTTCGTTGCTGCTGCTGCTGCTGCTGCTGCTGTTGCTGCTGTTCTCCGTCTTTCAAATCTCGTCTGCTTTACATAAAGATCGGAACATTAAAAACGCGATGCTACACGAAATCAACCCTCTAGACTCTTCCCTCTGCCTCCCTCCCCCTTTGTCCTCGTCTCATACCCTACATCCCTTTTTGCTGGCGAACGTCACTAACCCTCGGGTTCTTCGAGATTCTCGAGTGAGCAAGAGCATTCAGCCAATTACCATCGTTTCGATGTGATACTTAAATTGCTTTTTTCGCCGTTCGCGCAAGAACGAAACACGTCGAGTGCACTCATCACGTTGACGATTACATCCGATATCCGGCGCCGCCGCGGCAAATCCGGTTAAATCTCAAGGCCGTCGTTCTCGGCAGGTTTCGCGGAGGTAGTTTCTCGGCAGTGTGTAATCGCAAAAAATTCCTATATGGAATAAAAAGCACGAGTGTCTGGCGAGAGTGCTTATCAATTGCGAGTTATTGGTTGTCTTCGTGGAATCCATCTCGTCGCAGATCGGGTTTTCAGGGGAATATAATAATGAAGTTCGCGAGAGCGAAGGTGTATTCTCGATCTTGGGCGAACAATGCGCGGGAGTTTTTCCAGTTCTTGCGAGACCCCCGACTTGCGACCGTGCATTCTCGCCCCGTCCTCGGTTTCGATTCGGTTCGTTTTCTTCTTCTATCCATGAGGCAAGGTGGCCTCTCCTCGCGGACCGCATTGTGTCGGAGTTAATTACGTGCAGATAAATGCGGAGTCATAGAGGGGCGAGCCCTCTTCTTTTTCAGCGGACGTCTTTTTTAGGGGGCCCTCGCCTCACGCCATGCCGCACCGCCACCCCCTCCCTCCCTCCTCCTCCAAAAAGCCAGGGTGATATGGCGCGCGATGCGATGGTACACAATACCAACCGTTTAGGGCCCCGCCGAGGCCCCCGTACGACGGCCACGGCCTGAAATTGTTTTCATTGTCCGGACGATTTGTCAGGGTGTGTAAGACGGTAGCGAAACTATTAGCGGTTCATTCTTCTTGGAGTCTCGAGATACGCTGTCTGCAGAATTCCACGGGATCGAGCGACGAGCTCTCTTCTTTCTTCATTCGATACGCTACGCACGCAACGATACCCGCGAGAAATCGCGAATCTGGATTTCCAAGTCGTCGTCGCTGTGCACGTCACTTTCTTACGTCGGGCGGATCGACGGACAATATAACGGTGGCGAATGTTCGCCAAGTTATTAGAATGGAAAAAAACGAAAGACGAGAGAATACCCCCCCTCCCCTTCCCCTCCCCCTTCCTCAAAAAAGAAGTACGTGCACAATCAATCAAATCACTTTTTCTGTGGTCTTTATCTCGGCTCGATGTAACAAAAGGTGTATTCTCAACCGTTCCGAATGAAGCAAGAAAGTTTCCTTAAATCGGTCCTTCGCCTCGAGGTGTCTTCCCTTTCCTACGTACTACTCTCCACCCTTCTCCGTGAGACTCGCCGAGCGAGTGTTATATCTGGAGCAGTTAAATTGTCATTTGGATATCAAAGGGACGCGACACCCCGCGCGCGGATAAGGGCGCGAGAGGTAATTTGGCTCAGCGAAACGCAAACATTGCTCTCCGTGTGCCCCAAAGTCGTGGAATATAACGGCCCTGACGAACGCACGAATTCACACCCACGTGCCACGAAACAGCCCTCAGCTATTGTTGCTCAAAGCATAATGGAATCTCGGCCCCGTCGTCTCTAGTCCCGACGATAAAGATGGAGCGGGATAGAACGGGGGAAAGGGAGGAATGCGGGACAGAGAGCAGATCGTCGATGCCGATTCCTCTCGCACGTCCGCGTGCACGCCGGTTAACCGGGACTTAATGGCCTTGCAATTGGATTTTACCATTGCTCTTTGCTCAAGGAGGCGCCATTTCACGCTTACCGATCAGATCTGCGTCCTTTCGTCGCACGCTCGCGCGCCCTGTATAATCTTCCTCACCATTCTTCTCTGCACTGAGAGATGACTTACAAAAACTTTTATTATCTTTTAATTAAAAAATTTGGTTGTAATCAAAATTTGGTCATTGAAATTTGGATTAGAATAACAACATTTTTTAATTAAAAAATAAGAAGATTTTTGCAAGTCACATATCAAATCAAATATCTCTTTCAGGACGTTTATGTGATTTTTATGTGATTTATTTGTAATCGACAATCAAAGAAAAAAATTCCTTTTCTTTCTAATCGTGAGAATCAGTTAAATATTACCTTCGAAATGTTGATTTGGCAATAAAATTTAATTAATTAATCATCAAAATCGCTTATAAAATTTTCAATTCATTTTGTGTTTTTTGTATTATAATAACCTACCACTAGCTCGAAGAAAATGGCATAATTTTGTAAATGACGTCCATTGCACAAATCGCTCGAAAGGACAGGAGCGAGACGCGTGTGCCCGGTTAATTCGGCGCGATATCATTAAAGGGACATTTTCCAGTTTTCACCCTAATCCTTGCGAAATTCAGTGAGCAAACCCGCGGCCCTTTCACGCCTGCCTTCGTCCGTTATCCCGCTCGTCCCTTTTCCATCCCCCTTTTGCGCGCGGCTGACGGTAGCTGCCGGTTTTGCACTAATTACCGCTTCGTTTCATCCTTCGCGCGCGTGGTTCACGCCTCGTCGAATCCGCGCGTCGTTCCCGCCGCGCCGTCCGTGCGCGTTGCGAGCCGACGGACTTCTCTCCTCGAGGCGATTCCTTCAACGCTGTCGAGGCAACGGAGCGCGTTATCCGAACGCCGATATTAATCTTAAGCCGAGAACGCTAGTGAGACTACATTATGCGCGTTGATTACATAGCGGAACAGTATTGTATTATGTAGGCTATATTATAAATGCTTTGCCACACACAACATACACACGCCCTGCGCCGTTTTGTTGTTCAGTTGTCTGTCAATTTCGTATACTTTTTTTTGTCGCAGAATCGCTGGTGCAGGAACTCGAGCTGGAGAGAAAATCGCGGCAGCACCAAGCGGCCGAGAGGGACCAAGTCAAGTCTCCTCTTCAAGGTGCGTTGTATAAAAATACGAGATTATTTTCGCGCGTGTTTACTCGATAGAATTTTTTTTTCTTTTTTTTTTTAATTATTTCATTTTATTGATGTGACATTTCTTTTTCATTTTGCCATCGCGTTAATCGGCATCTTTTCACGAATACGATAGTATATTCACGATCTCGGAAAGTTTCTCTCTCACGTTCTCGCATTTGGAGAGCGCAGTTTTCGTGCAGTACGCGTAGAGCGATTTCTTGCTATACGGAATAAAGTTCGGATCTTTAATTAGAAACTCTTCGGGGGCGGTCGCGTCTCGAGGGAGGATGGGCGAGACGGTTCTTGCAAAGGCGTCAGCGGCATAGCCCCGGCATATTCGAAACTTGGCCTCGCTCTCCTCCGTGGAAACTTGTCCGAAGGAAGTTTCCAACTCGCGCAAAAACTATATCCGTAGCGCGATTTCGATGCTCCAAGGCCCCGGCCGGCGTGACGTTGCACGTAAATAATCGTTTTTCACCCGCACGCCCACCCTCTCGGGGGCTCTCGAAAGGAATTAACAAGTCTGCTCTTAATTGGCAACGTCCTTGCAAAATCAACTCCCACATCTTGGGCCAGAGCTTTTTATCTACGCTAATGTTACTTACTGCGGTAGATCTGTACCACAAGAAGAATGAGAGAGAGAGAGAGAGAGAGAGAGAAATTAAGTGGTAAAGTAGCATTTTTGCAAAAGCTCTCATTATCGATTTTGTCTTTTATTACGAAATTTATTGATTTAAAATAATATATATTATGTAATAATATTACACAGTATATGATAATATGTGATAATACATGATAATATTATATAATAATATAATTGTTGCTAAAATTTGTCCAAGCTTTCTTTTTTTTTTCACCGAATGATTGGAACCAACCATTAAGAAAAGAATAAAATATTATTAAAACACGCATGTTGAATCAAACAAAATGACGTATCCTGAGAGGGCTATTGCAGAGGTCGAGCAGATTGAAGCGATCCGAACGATAGTGGGCGCGGAGAGACGAGTAAACCGAATCACGCGGACTATTAACGTATAGTGATTTTCAATCATAAGCGACAGTTCGATAAAAAGTAGAGTGGCGGCTCGATCACAAAGGCCGCGCTAAGGCCGATGACTCGTATTTACGAACGTATGCGTACACGATAGGGTCTGACACTCAATCCCCTCCCCCTCTTCCCCTCTCCCATCCCCTTTCGCCCTTTTTCTCGACTCTCGGTTCGTCCATCTCTTCATCCACCTCGCGCGTCCCTCCTCGCGTTCATCTGCGTCTCGAGAGCCAACGATAATTAGTGAGCGGCGCCTTCTTTCTAACGAACGATCATCGAATGACCCAGCTGGTCCACCTTCACCGTATCGCGCCGCAAGGCATCACCGTAAGGCACCTACCACCGAATCCTCCGACGAGCTCCATCCCATAGCGGAATTACGCCCACGACCATTCATCTCCTGTATGCATCTTTATCCGCGAGACATTCGCTCCTCTCTCGTATTCCCATTAAGAGTCGCGACACGCCTAACACTCATGGCTACATCGGTGCTGTAAGATCTAAATTTAGCACTCGATACGTCAGTCTCCCATTCTCCTTGCTATTATCATATGCGCAAACGCGACACGTTTCATATATCCGATAAGTAAAAGTCACCGACACAGCCCGCGCTCGTTATGGCGCGCACAATCAAAGGAACACAGACTCTCAAAGTGCACCTGCGATCGCTTCTGTTTCAGAGTCGCGGACGGGTTACTACAAGAACTCCGTTCTGTTTACGAGTGCGACCTAGAAGAGGCCGGACGACGGCAGACGGGGGCAGCAGGCAGATCGGGCAGATCGGGCAGATCGTGCAGCGAGCAGCCGAAGCGAGTGATCGATCGGACAAAGCAGAAAGCGCAATTCGAAACCACGAGAGCGGACTCACACAACGAGAAGCAAACGTGAGGAAAATGGAATCATGATGGTCGACCGCGAGAAGAAATGTACGGATTCGACGAGGAAGAGCGAAACTCCGAGTGACGATCTCGCGCGAGTGACCGCGTAGACTTATTGTACAGCTCGGCGGACAAAGTGCGAATACCGAGAGTAACCGGAAGGCTCCGCGAGAGTATTTTATCATCGGGAGACTCGTAAGTTCCGGATAGAATCGTATGAACGAGCGTTAAGCGACGGTAGACTCGATTTCGACGAACGAATAAAAACGTGCGGCTATATTCACGCGTTTGTACAGAGCCGCGATCACGTTTTCCGACGCTCGAAGGGAAAACTCGGAGGGATGAAAGAGGGGGGGGGAGAGGGTAGAAGGATAAAAACGGGGCTCTCGAATCGAGATCGGTCCGGTCAGCGTTCGCAACCAGGAGGACCGATCCACACACATATCAACGATGCGATATTCGCCGATCTCCCAATTCGCGTTCACAGTGATCGTGGAGTCGCGTCGTTCGTTTCGACGACGACGGAATTCCGAAGGGAGATGTTCTCTAAATGTACGCGCCATCAATTATACCCGTGATGGATGACGGGATGGAACCGAACATTTGCGTGACTCTCGCGGTACCGAGACGATCGCGGACAGTAGACGGGGCAGAGAAATCGGGAACGAGGAGAGAGAAATAGAGGCAGAGACGAGAAAGGGAGATAAGAGAGGCATATTTCTAAAGACTGCTGGAGAGTGCGTGCGTGAGTGCATGCGTTCCTAGAGGTACCTATCTCCTAATTATCGAGCGAATTAATTAGATAATCGTTTTTAAGGGATTCTAGGCGATCGGCCGCGCCACGCAGTCGTCGTGAGACGCGCCGATTTCGAGTATTATTATAATTATTAATATTATTATATACGTCGCCGCGGCGGCGCGAGGCCCGATCCGATCGCCACTGCGAAACGAATGTCGAGTCGCGGGCCCTCTCGTCGCGACCGGCCCGATTCGATATCTCGGAATCGGCGTCTTCGGCGGCGCCGATCGATGCATCTCGACGTCGCGACGATTTTTCTTTTTCTTTTCGAGAACGCCGTCTCTCTTACTAGGCACACGTCGCAGCGCCGAGAAACGCGCCGGCTTTTTTGTAAAATGCGCGTAAGAGCGCGAAAATTGACGAGTGAGTCTCTTCTGGTTTCAACGTGGAACGAGATTAGAGCCGCAAAGAGAGAAAGTGAGAGAATAAGAGTGACGTGACGAAAAAAATGATCGACTGAATGAAGAAAGAATGAACAATAGATATATAGAGAAAGAGAGAGAAAGAAAGATCGTGAGAGAAAGAGAGAAAACGAGAGTAGAAGTGTCTTATAGAAAGAATCTTACGAGTATATGCGTACGCATGTGTGTGTGTGTGTGTGTGTGTGTGATTGTGTATGTACGGTAAAAACGGAAACAACGGAGGATTCTCTCCTAGCGTCTTAAATCGTAACACCTTATTTATATAAATAACTTAGTTACTACCGAAACAAGTAAGTCTAATCCATATTGCGTGTGTCCCGCGTTTGCGTTGACCGCCCAAGAATCCGGTGAAATATCTCTTGACGAGTGCGAAAAACAAATAGAACGAGAAAAAAAAATGAAATGACAGGAAAAGGACATTTCGACGAATCCGTAAGATGCGCGCGATACAGAGCGAGGAAGACGCCAAGGATATTTCCCCGGGGATGGTCCCCGTATTTAAGATCCATGTACAAAGTCTTTTGCCGTAAGGTTCTTGTGTTGTAAAGTTCACATAATCATAGTGTCTAGTATCGTACCAGCTAAAGCCCGTTAAGACGATGCTAAACGTAGAGAAACGAAAATTTAACCACCGATAGCTGATCCGTATTTGCCATCGCCGCTACCGATTGACGGAAGGAAAGGAAGGAGGGAGGTTGAGAGGGTTGACAGGGCATTCAGGTAACGTTTTTCACGATCGAGAACCGCAGGTCAATTTTCTCGTCGTTAACGTCGATTGTAAGGACTTTGGCCGATGCCAATTAGTACAAATTAAATCTCGAGAACAGAGATTGACGGAGCGACCGATTGAACCGATTTCTCACGCGAGATAAGCCGCATTGATGATTATCGATACGATTACGCACAAACTATATCACTGTAGATGAGAGAGAGAATAGCGAATATATTTCATATCGTTTAATTTTCGGTGCAATAAAATGAACGTCGAGATGATCGCCGAACATGCAGCACGTACGGTTTTCGATTGAGAAAAATGTTACTGAACTGGTGAGGGTGATATAAAGGTGACATGGGGGGGGGGAGGGGTGTGCGCGTTAAGAAGAAAAGTGCGAGACGTTTGCGGAGCGGAGTTGGGAATGTGGAAGAAAGGGGGACATGGGGACTTTGTTGTCGCCACACATGCGAGTCACGGCGACGGTGACTAGTGACGCCGATTTCGCGACCGGACTTATACAATCTAGTATCGAGGCAAGAAGTGTATTCATTGTAATTCAGCATTATTACCTATAAATAAATAGTTGTTATTGTAAGCCGGATTTTTCTTTCATTCGATACCACCACGTGATCCTTTCCCTGAAACGTCTTCCATCTTTCAGTCTGCATTTTCTTTTCGTACGCTACATTCATTTCATGTAAATGTACCTCAAGAACTTACAAGGTTTTGCTCTCCCCTGAACTCTTTACACCTGAGAAAAGAATATCCCGTGGTTAATGAATCAGACTCTTATTCCGTTTTTCAGCTCGTCGAAGCGCGTAAAAAGTACACGTGTTTTCCACTTTGTACGCATATCGGATCTTTTCTAGGGAATAGACAAATTGCACGGCCCTCAAAGATGACGACAAGAACGGCGCGATAAGGCGATCGCCCTGGGTGCGAATAAAAATGTATTCCGCGTCCGACATCTTCGCTTGGACGGAGAAGCGGGAGAGGGCTAATGAAGGACTGAAGGGTACGGCGATGTATTCTTATCAATTTGCAGGTTCCGTAACGACCTGAGGCACGCGACGGGATCCCATTGGTCGAGACAGGCTCCACCCTTTCGGCGCGAGGAATATATTTTAATAGTAAATATAACGATAATATACCACACGAGCACGCTCCGTCGAAGCACCAGACACAGAAGGCTTCTTAATTGAATCAGTCATTCAGCGAGATCGCTACGTCAATGTCTTAATTGCTCATTCCCGCGCGTTAATTAGACGTTTTCATTTCATTGTCGATGCTGAGCGGTTGGTACAGCGCCAGCAGAGTCGAGAAGCAGAACCGGAGCTAAAAACTCGAGGCTAATTGTAGGGAATACGCAATTAGAGACAGTAATTAACACTCTGATCGATCAATTAGTCCGAATGTGAAATAAATCCTAGATACGATTCGCTTATGCATCAAGTTTCACACTATTTTCCATTCGTGAAAACAGTCGGTTAATCTTTTGCTTTTAAATAGAAAATTCTCTCTCATAAATCTAAAATAAAATACCTTGGACAATTTCGTGCCAAATACTGGCACCAGCATCGTGTATTATAATATCAAATCGGAAGAAGTTTTAATAAACGTAAAGAATATATGAATTTAAATTTACATGTGTTACTCATGTCTCAAGATAATAAGTCTTATTTAATTAATATAAGCTTATTTTCGAGGTAAAAGAAAACAGGAATTATTATCTAATCTTATATCGTTTTATTTTTATACTTTATAAAGTTGTTATAAAATTAAATATATCAAGAATATTTTTTTCTCGTTATCAGAAATCCTTGAAAGGATGCAATCTAAAATGTAACAAACATATACGAGCGTTATACGATTTTTATCTTTATATACATACATTTCATAAATTTTTATATTTTCTTTTCTGTGTAATATAATAGTTCGATCGAAGATACGCAACTATACAGGAAGGCATTAATTCAAGTACATATTTCACTGCTGCTAAAATAACGACGTTGATCGCAATGCGTCGTCGCATTCGCGCATAAGGAGGCGAAGCCAGAGGGCCATGTTTCGATGCAAATGAAGGGCTTGACTCTTGTCGCCGAGGATTGACGAGCCTTTCTCTCCCCCTTTCGCCCCTTGGGTTCCTGATTCCGCCGTGTTTCTCTCTCCTTCGCCCTACGACGACGGCCGACCCGAAATCATAAAGATAACCGAATTGCTCCAGCCCGGTACTTTTATTCCGAGGACATATTGCCCGACAATCATTCCGGCATTTGCATAATTATCGAATAAAACGGGACTGCGCGCGAGAGCGGGGATCGAGACCCCGGGGCGCGTCGTCTAACGCTCTCCTTCGCCGCGAGTACGACTAATTTCGTGCTCTCGAACTTTTTTCGACCCCGGAGGGTCGTGAACCCCTCTTTCACTCTTCGCCCGCGCGCTCTTTCGCATTTTAGCGTCTTTATCTCTAATCCCTCCCCGCGAGAAACGCGCTTGCCTATCTCCTTGTCGCGAGCGATTAGACTTAATTCGTCCAGCGGAAATGGCAAAGTCTTCTAATTAGAGTTGCAATGAACAACGGTCTTGTCACGACTCGCGCTAAGGTCGATTTTTTTCTCTTCGGCATCGAATGCTATTCCGAATGGCAAATGGTTGCAACGATAATAAAATATTATCATCCAGGTATTGAGAATAGATGTTTATTTAATTAAAAATAATAACTGACAATTGTATAAATCAACATTTTATATATAAATATTTATGTATAAATATTTTAGAGATCTTTCATTTATAATAGTAATGAATTTCTTTAGCAGCTTTGACAGCTTTTCATAATTTCTGAGAGAAATAACACTTCGTCCGTAAAGAAATAGATTATAATCACAGATACAGAAGAAAATAATTGTAATTAGATTACTGTTGCTCGATTGTTTATTAAGTGATCTTTTTTCTAATAAAAGTTTGGAAGATCGTAAAAAATCAGCACGAGGCGAAAAAGACTTTTTATCAAATTCTTTGCCAAGTCTCTCAACAGTCTGCGGAATCAGGGGAATCATAATTTTCA